AATTTAAATTAAATTGACTTTTTTCCAATGTTGACATATTTAAACTTGTAAAATTTCCACTCGAATCAATACAATTTTGATCATAAAAACAGTAAAGTTTTGTTTGAAGAATAGATTCAAGTGGATAACAACCACTCATCATACCTCCTGATGATTGAGTACATTTAAATGATAATCCACAATTACATTCACCATAATTTACAGGTTCTGTACGTGCAACTCGCAAAATAAATTCAGCTTGAAAAGAATATTCCCAATTAGTGCTCCATACATTCATAATCATATTTGAACCAATTATTCCACGAATTAAATTTAAAAGATTAAGAAATGAATTGAATGTAGTTGATTGAAGTCGATTTAGAATTATTTCGATTTGTTCAATTAAATGATTTTCAGATAAAAGCTGAGAATTAATAAAATAACTTGCCAATAAACGCGAAAGAGTATGATTTACTTTTTCTTGACTAAGTTTACAAAATGAAGAAAGTAAAAGAAATTGTCCAGGAGCTGAATAACGATAATCATCGAATGAAAATCGATGAAAAAGATTCCCTTCACCATAAAGATAATAAATCCATTCATCAGAAATAAATTGACTTGAACATAAATCATGAAAATGAGGTTCGATATTAAGAAATGTTTCATATGGAATAGATATTTGTGAACAAGAACATTGAAGAGAATAATAATGATCTTTTAATAAATCTTTATAATTTGAAAGTGATGGTTTTATTATTTGGATAGTAACTGATTTTGGTTTAAAAGCAGAAAATATAAATATTACACATAATATTAATAAAAGAAAAATGAAATGAAATCGATTAATAAGACGTTTTTCAGTATTACATACAAATAAGTTTTTTATCATTGTTATAAATCCATTAAAAGAATTATTATTAATTGTATTCTCAATAAATCGAAGAATAATTAAAGTAAGTAGTTTTAATCCAAGAGATAAACCACTACAAATACCAAGAATTGTTGTTATAACAAAGAATAAATCACTTCGACTAATATATTCATACGTACATGATGATGGAGAACATATGTCATAATATGAAGAAAATGAAATATTCGATGTCCAAGAATCAATCATAAGTCTATTGATAATTGATTCAATTGTTTCATTTGGTGGACTAAGATTTTCATTTAAAGGTGAAAAATTAAAAGATGATCCAAGAGGAAAATAAAAATATCGATCTAATTCAATCATACATGATAGGTTATAAAAACATTCTAAAGTTGATTTCATTAATCCTTCGACTTGGGAGCAACCCAGAAAAAAATTTGGGAGGATGAGATATGTTCCGTAAATCGTGAAAGTAGCTATGTTGGCGAAGAACACACCGATAGGGAAAAGGCATGATGAAGATCGAGTACATGAACAATTTAAATATTCTTGTACTTTAAGATTCAATTTTATACCATTCGAGTCCATATAATAAATAAACTGTTGACTCATAAGTTGATTTCCGTGTGATACAGCTTGAAACATTTTAATTGTTTGTAAAAATTGATCGATAGTTTCAGATTTCCAATCATTAATAGTTGAATTAACTTTAGTTTCAAATCGATTTTGAGAGATGACTTGTGAAGAAAGAAATTGTGTTTGAAGAAATGTTTTGATACTAATATTAACTGTTTGTTGAGCATGTTGGCATAACATTGACAATAACTGGAATTGATATACACCAGAATTTCGATAGTCAAGTCTTGAATAGTAAGCGTTCCGGATGTTATCACCCTTGACATAATTAATCCATGCATCTGATGTAATATCACTTAAACATACTTGATGAAAGTAAGGTTCAATCGTAATAAAAGTTGAATAACTCATTGAGTCTGTTGAACATGGACAATAAAGATTTGAAGAATAAATTTTTTCAAGTTCTTTAAATTGGAATTCTGATGGTTGATGAATTGTTTTTTGTTGAAGATCTTTATTTAATAATAAATAGAAACTAACGATAATAAGCGAAATGAGAAGAACGAATGAGTAAAGTCGAGTTGCAATTCTTTGATAATTGATTTGATGTTGATTACTTCCATTATCTTTAAACATATTTAGTTCAATTAAAGTTTTTTTCACAAGTCTTTTTATCTTTATTATTACTAAACATAAAATAAAGAAAGAAATAATTTTATTTTTAGATTTTAATTAAGAAAAAACAAATAAAAACTTTTATCTTGTCAAACATAATTTCAATAGTAAATGAAGTCAATCAATATAATCAACTAGACAGATATGTCGATGTACCAATGTTAAAAGAGGAAGTAACTGCTCTACTTAAAAAAACTCTATTTTCTTCCTCATAAAGTCTAAGATAACATCGAGATTTTCCATTGTAAAATGTATTTCCACATTTTAAGAAGTTTCTTGCATCATAACAAGTCAAATAAATAAAATCGATTTTATTGAGA